ATTATAATAATAAATGCTAAATACGCTAGTCATGCAGAATCTGCCTTTGCCTTGACTTGCGTCAGCTGGTGACAGTATGTAGATTTAAACTAAATCTGATTCATTCACACCATTTAATTTAATCATTTATTTCAGTTTGCTTTTAACAACAAAATAAACAAGGAGTTACATTAGATTTGAATTGACAATCTCAAAACCATCCCCATCATTCTCCCTGTCTTCTCAGATGGGATGGTGGGCTAAATAACCATGGGCCAACTTTGGTCCTAGTTTGGGCATCTCTGATCTAAGCGCACTATTCCACTATTCTCCTCTGGAATTTGGGCCAAAATCATTTTCAGGCTAGTGCTGATATTGTTGGCATGGAGCACTTACAGTTGAAGTCAGAATTATTAGCCCCTAATTAATTCTAATTATTAGAAATTATTGTTTATTTCTTTTCCAATTTCTGTTTAACGGAGAGCAGATTTTTTTCCAACACATTTTTAAACATAATAGTTTTAATAACTCATTTCTAATAACTGATTTAGTTTATCTTTGTCATGATGACAGTAAATAATATTTGACTAGATATCTTTCAAGACACTTCTATACAGCTTAAAGTGACATTTAAAGGCTTAACTAGGTTAATTTGGTTAACTAGGTTAGGGTAATTAGGCATGTTATTGTATGACGATGGTTTGTTCTGTAGATTATTAAAAAATAGAGCTTAAAGGGGCTAATAATTTTGTCCTTAAAATAGTGTGTAAAAAAATTAAAACTGCTTTTATTCTAGCCAAAATAAAATGATAAAGACTTCCTCCAAAAGAAAAAATATTGTCAGACATACTTTGAAAATATTTAAAAAAGAAAATATAATTCAAAGGGGCAGCTAATAACTCTGACTTCAACTGTAATCAAGATATAGGGTTTTACAATGAGCTCAAACCATGCACACATGGTCTTAATTCCTTTTGAAAATGATTAAAATGGTGGTTCATTTATCTGAGAAAAGAGAGTTGGCACAATCAGCCCAAATGTAAATAATCAATGTAATGCGTTCAAGATATTCAGTATAATGGCCTGAAATCACACACTGCACAGTAGCGTCTAGTTCGTTGCTCTGGCGTCAGTATGTGGAAAAGTGTGTTCATTGCTCATGGTGCTGTGACACACTCTCTCCACTGATCCCTGGCCTGTGCTCCCGATGCCAGTTCATTCATCTGACCTCATTTCCCTCCGCCAGACTCCTGCTCCTCTGACCTGGCCAAACGCCGACTGACAAACTCTTCACTCGCTAATGTACATTCAGCACACTGACATTTGCAAGAATAGAAGATTGACTGTTTCTGCCCTGGATTCTTCTGTGAATGATTGACAAGCACAAAATGACATTTGCTTTAGACAAATGACAGCTACGCCATACTAGAAAAAAAAACCTGACACTGGGATATTTTGTTTTTCTGTGACTTATTGCTGTACATGCTAAATAAATTGAGACTTTATTTAATCAACTAAATATGACAATTATTATTAATTAAACTAATATTAATTTAAATAATTATTTAAAGTAAATAAAACAGATTTTACATATGGTATTAATACAATTTTTTTTACATCCTATTGAAAATGTTCAGATTTGAGTTACTTAGTTAGTTTCTTTGCATTTATTTGTGAAATGTACTAGTAAGCTTTTAGTAAAAAATAAATCTCTTAAAGTAAATCCTATTCCATTGATTTTTTGTCTTGTTCTTTCTCTCTTTCTCAACTTGAGATCTCAAATGCCTCAGGTTTTGACCAATTTAATGATTAAAGTAGTAATTATGTTCATTATTATGTAATTAGTAAACAATATTGCAACACTAGTGTACTTTAAAAAAAAATATAAGAAAGATAAATAGATTTTATTTAAGTTTACTGTAAAAACAAACCTGAAATTTATGTGTTCATTTCTTCAATTTCAACTTTAGGCCTGTCATAGAAACATGACGTTAAAAACTCCAGCAGGTGACAGCATGTTTCTATTTTAATAAGTGAGTCATTGAATCAATTACTTGACGAAGGCTGAATCATTTTGAAAAAAGCAAGAATGAATGGATTTATGAACGGATCATTGCATCATTGACTCAAATTATTCAATTAGGAATGAAACACTGTAGTTTTAGTCAGAGATGCATAATCGGTTTGCTCTTCTTTGTTCAGAATTTTTCCACAGGCGAAAACAGAAACAAACATCCGCTTATCTAAATTTCCAATTCGTTGAACTTGTATAAAATCAATATTAGGTTTATAATTATGTTCATGCTGACATTCAGAAATGTGTGACGTAGTGATAGTTAAAGGGATAGTTCACCTAAAAAAAAAAATTGTCATCAGTAACATCCTTTACTGGATCCAAAACTATATATGTTTTTGATTCTTCTGTTGAACACAAAGGAGATATACTGTTGGAGAAAATCAGCCATTGACTTTCATAGTATGTATGTTTTGTTGCTAGAATAGATTTCAGTGGCTGCTTTTTCCAAAATTCTACAGAATATCTTGTATTGTGTTTGAAAGAAAATGAATCATAAAAGTTTAAACCACTTGAGTGGGAATAAATCGTTAAGACAATTTTCATTTTTGGCTGAACTATCCCTTTTTTGTTTATATCCACAAAATGGTCTGCTATCTTTATTGTGAATTACAGCACATTTAAATACATATTAATAATCATCATCACATAGTGAGGATATGAAGACTAAAGTTTAAAGATATTCTTTTGCTTTTATTTTATTTTTTTGCAAAGATTGTGACATATTTAAATAGACCCCTTTAGCGGACACTTTTATCCAAGCAATGAGCAAAAATAAAAAAAGCATATAATTTTTGAATAATTGATAAGAAAGTGTATTCTAGATTATCTTTCCAGGATTGTTTTATTTAAACAAGACACAAACTGAATTTTTTAAAATAAGATTTTCCCAAATGTATTCTTATTGTGCAATAAATGTAAAAATTCTGAAGGTACACTGACTTACTCATTCTGGTCATGCTATATAATTAGCTCAATTTGGCAGAACATTTTTAATTTAATATCTGAAGTATACAGGATTGATTTGGCACTAGAGCCAACTTGGGCATTTTTGGAGACACCTCAGAAATAGGAGATAAATATATCTGTTTTGCTCTGGGAATATTGCTTGTGTGTCTCTCTCTTTCGATCTCTCTCTTCTTCTCTCTTGCGCACACGCGTACCTGTTCTCTCTGTCTCGCTTCTCTCTCTTTCGGTTTTACATGTTCAACCCTGATCAGATTGTTATTGGCTGTAGGGTCAGTCAATCATCATTATCTTCGGTGACGTGGTGGCTTCTGCAGCCAATCTGAGTGGTCGCCAGGTTTTTAAAAAGACAACGAGTGGGACTCTGGACAGAGGATTTTGCGTTCCTGTTTTGCACTTTATTTCAATCTGCCCCCCGTTATTTCTTTAGTTTTTTTTTTTTTTGGTACTTTATATTGCTTTGCCACAAGTTGTTAATGCCATCTTGTTTATTTTTATTAATTTTCTTTTTATTCTTCACTTGAGATCATTTGCTGGAATGATTTGTTTTCCTCAGGGGGATTTGGAGAGGAAGATGTCACGTGATGTACATCCTTACATCACCCACTGAACCTGTGTATGGACACACCAGGTTTAGGAGTGAGCGCTGGTATTTGTATTTTTCTGTTTGGTTAAGTTTAGAGTAGGTAAGTTATGGCATGTAGACTTGCTTTCGATTATTTTGCTTTTAGTTAGGTAAAAGGATTATACTGAGTTTTTGGTTTAGTTATTTTCTTTCCTTTCAGCGCCACTTTTGTCCTCTTCCCCTGTGGGGTTTATTGTTTTTTTTTTGGGTTATTTTGTTATTATAAATTGTATTTAATTTACCTTTTGTGATATTTGTTGTGAACTATATAATTCGTCTTCATTATTACTATCTTCTGTTTATCTTTGATTTTTGTATAATAAATGGTTCTCTTTTTTGCAGTATTTTGCTTGATGCATGGTTCTTCTTCTTCCATATTACACAAAACTGTCACAATATAAATGTTATTTACTTCAGTCCCTGATCTAACATCATGAAGTTGAAACAATATCACAGGAAGTATCTTTGTGTATGATATTAGCAAAGAAAATACTTTTACAAAATTGGTAGTCAAATTACGCGACTGCCTTTGAAAACTAAATTAGGAGCGTAAATTATGTGTTGGAAGAAATGTGATATGGGATGGCAAACAAACAAAACATAGTTTTTTAAAATCTGGAACCAAATTAGGTTTTATATCAGTAATGCTGACTTGTAACTCATTATAGGTGGGATTGGTTTGGCATAATGTCGAGTTGTGGAGTTTCTTTTTAAATAATTAATTTTTTATATTGACATATTGTAATATGTTGTGTCCGACTGTTTGTGTATTGTGAAATGGCCTTTGTACTCCCTCTTTTTTTCTGTTTATGTTATTGTTTATTTTGTTATACTAAAAAAAAAAAAAGAAAAGAAATTGTCTGGTGCATATGGAGAGGAGAGAGTGTGTCCTAAAGGTAGGTTTGTCAGGCGCAATGACCTGTATGGTGCACACTCAGGATTGCACAATGGTTTTGATGAGAATGAGCTGCTTAAAAGACAGTGTCTGGTGCATATGGAGAAGAAAAGACTATTCTGTAATGTCAGCTTGTAAGGCATTAATTTAAAGTAAAATGGCTGTTCATTTTGTGATTTTGTAACATGAGAAATTATTATACAACATAAAGCAAGCTACACTTTTTAAAAAGGTAATCAGCAACTTCTTGTATTTTTGCTGTACTTTTATTAGTTTAAATGTGTTTGATTGATTAAAAAAGATTTTTTTAGAGAACAGTAATGATTTCATCTATGAACCTGGTTGTTTTGACGACTGCACACATACTGTGATATTGATTTTAATTCTTAGTGTTTTAATGAAGCATTACTCTCACACTCAACCGCAGGGCAAACGTGAACCCACAGAGGTCAGCGACGCACCTGTAGGCAGCCTGTATCCTCCACGGTGTCCAGCGTGCTGACTGCTATCTGCTCTCCTGTCCTGCTCCCACATCTCGGCCTCAGACTCTGTTGTGCGGGACCCTACGTCAGACACATCCCCTTCCTCTCCCTCCATGCTGTTGCGGTACGGCCGGCGCTGCCAGTTCTGGATGGCCTGTTTGCGGAGACCCCAGCTCCGTGAGGCAGCCGCTCTTTCATAGCCTGCGCCTCCTCCTTCCCCGAGTCTGCACTGCACGTGGTAGTATTGGGCATCGGGACAGTCCTCCAGAGCGTGGAGATCCACACTGTCACTGTCATAACCTCCGGAGCCCTGCGACACAGACTTTCCTCGCACCGATGCACTGTTAGAAAGAAGACACAGAGAAAAACTCATAGCAGTTCAAGTGAGGAATTTTTGGCAAACAAACACAAAATGGTGCTTGCTTTATCCTTTTTTTTTTTTTAAATGTTAACATTTACTATATACAATATTTCTATATGTGCTATTTTATTTGGCTATTTTTATTATGTGGAAAATACTTCATGGATATACAATTTTTGTATTGTTGTATTTCAACATATGTTATATTTTAACATTGCAATAGTTTAATTTACCTTGCAAGCTTTATAATTTACTTTGCAAATGGGCATCAGTGTCAATACTGTTAGTTCAAATAATTTTCAATAAATAAAAATTAAGTTAAGCTGAAGTATACTACAAATATCAGATACAAATCTAACTAACTAGTTTTGTACTAACTAACTAAACTAAATTATTATTCAGATAATTAAGTTGACGTACTACTATTACTAAAATTAAAAATGAAATGAAGTTATAAAGAAACACACAAAAACAATAATAAATAAAAACTTAAAAAATTCAACTTAATTTAAATTGAGTAAACTATAAAAATAATTCAAAATATTAATGAATAACAACAATTTACACTTAAAATATTTTAAGAATATTCATACTAAAAATATTTAACACTTTATGTATTTTATCATAAAGATGGTGAATGAATTTATGAATTTGTAACAATAAATACAAAGTAGATCTGTGCTCTTAACCATATCATCCTAAGGAACACAATGGATATTAAAAAAAAAATTCTATCATATTTACAGATTATGTAGTGTTAGGCAAAGATTAATCATGATAATTACATCCAACATTAAAGTTTGTTTTGACATAATATATATTTATGTATTATATATTTATTATGTGGTACACATGCATACATGGAAACAAAATTACACAAAACACTTTTGTTACATAGACAAATGTAATTCAAATGTATACATAATTTGTATCATATACACATATTTTATAACTAAATATAAATAAAACATTGCATGCTAGTATTTTAAACACATAATAATTATACACAGTATACATACACATATTATGTCAAAAACTGACTTTGGCTTTTATTTTGATTGCGATTAATCATGTTTTTTTTACCCCCATATATATATTTATTTCTATATTTCTAAAGTAACTGTCTGTCTTTTAATACTAAAAATGTCATTACAAATTTTGGTGAAAAAAACAAACTGATTTCACAGAGCCCTAGCATAGTTTTGTCTAGCTTCAACCAGGTATTCGGATCAGTAACTAAATGTCAGGATCGCATTCTGCTCTCTTTTTAGTAATGCTTTTTTATTTGCAATTCTAACTACAAACAACTATATGGTTAATTACATTTTCTAATATAAATGCCATGCTCCGAAAAGTCTTGCAGCTTTTTTTCTGTGTCTAGTCACCAGTAAAAGCACTGCTTCAGGATTCAGTGTTTGTGCTCAGAGTGTGAGAAAGAGCAGTGAGAGTTATCCAGGAAATATGATCAGATCTGTCTAGACAGACTTCCTAAGACACACACAAACACACACACACCCACTAATTTAGTAATAAGAGACTCTGCTAACTCACTTAGAAGGGAAATGAAGATTCAACTCATCCTGCAAATACTATTTTTAAAGCCTGAATGAGTAATGAGTTATTTCCTTAATTGCACATACGAGAGTGACTCTCGGTTGTTTTCAGTCAAAACACTCCAGAGAAGACTGTTCCCACCACTGAGCAGCCTTAGGAGAGAACCCCATACACTCCTTCCAGCTCCTCCGGGGTGGATCCCAAGGTGTTCCCAGGCCAGCAGAGACATAATCTCCAAGCATATCATGGGTCTTTCTCGAGGGGGACTAATAATTCAGGGGGACTAATAATTCTGACTTCAACTGTATATATTATGAAAAAAATAAACTTTTTAGATTTTTTATTATTATTAACAAAAATTGTAGATAAAATGTGGAAAAATTTCAAACTAATAGTTATCACCATACTTCAGTTGATTGATTACATTAGAAACTGCCAACATTGTAATATATTTAAAAATGCGAATGAGTTATGTGATTACCTAATTAACCTAATTTGCCTTGCTTAATCAACCAAGTTAAGCCTTTAAATTGCACTTTAAGCTAAATTCTAAAATTCCTACAAAAACAGTAAATACTGTCATCATAGCAAAGACAAATATATTAGTTATTAGAAAATAGTTCTTAAAAATGTTATGCTTAATAATTTGTTGAGTTTAATTGGCATTAGCACCACACACAAATTTCCCATAATCATTACAAGAGAAATCACTGAACTCAGTGAGGAGTAAAGGGTTTCACATGGGATTGCGGGTATGGAAGGCTTAGCAGGGACAGAATTTCCACTGGGAAATCCAGCCAGACATTTAGTCACTCTCCAGATGTTACAGTTCAAAAGACTTGCAGAGATCCTTTGCTAAAGCAGCCACCAGTCACTGCAGGCTCTGCTGAAGGCAGACAGCACAATGGTGGACTTTTCTACTCCACTGTGGTCTGAAGAGCAAAGAACCTGCTAGAGATGATTTCTGCACAGTAGGAGTGTGTAATCCGTGACTATATATAAAAGAGACCTCTAAAGCTATTTATATGACCACATAAAAAGTCTAAAATTCTGAAGAACTACAGGACAGAATGTGGTCTCTTTTTTATGTAATACACAGTTTTCCTGATGTTTCAACACTTCTTACTTCATGCAAGAACTGCAAATTTGTGCCTTTTATTTGAAGCCAAAAATAGGGTTGCTGGGAAACAAAGAAAGATGCAGCAGCTAAATCTACTGCCAAAATGGATTACTGTATATAGTACAGCATGATTTAATTCAGAAAAAAAATGTTTATGATACATTATGTTTATGTATTTACATACATACATTACATAGTTTCATGTACCTAATAAAGTGAGAGTATAAATATTTTTTCCAGAGTCTTTATTGAATATTAAGTTAAGAATAACCAGCATTTATTTAAAATAGAATATTTTCCAACTCTATAAAAATATTTTTTGTTACTGACATTAAATGTAGTACATCCTGGCTAAATAAAATAATAAGTGTCCTATTAATATGCCATTTGGTTATATAATATGTTCATAGCTGCCTCAGATGGACGATGACGGTTATGTCAGAATAAAGAGCAGCAGTGATCATTTCAGTCCTGCCTGCCACGTCTGTTTCAGGAGGAAGTCCTGTGGATTCTGTGATGTCAGTTTAGGGATAGCAGACTCTGGGCAAACCTACGCTCCTTACACACAAACACACACACACACACACACACACGCACGCACGCACGCACGCACGCACGCACACACACACACACACACACACACACACACACACACATATGTAAGCACATGCACGCACACAGATGGACGACGCTGTGTCATTCACAAATCTTAAAAGATCAGCCATTTTAAAAAGGGTGCAATTTGTTAGCGATTCATATGTGTAGCCACATTAAAGGTGCTGTATGTACGTTTTTGACTCTTCTATAGCATAAAATACTATAATATGTTTGCAGATATTTAAGAAACATGCTAAGCAAACATTCTTGTTTATCTGATAACAATGCTGAGGTCAGATATTCTACTTTGAAAATGTCCGTTATGTGCCAGAACGTGTCTCCATTTTGGTCATTTAACCCACCTATGCCACTTTAGCCAATTATATTTCAGCACCCTGGGTTACTTGACAACCGATTCAAATGTTATCACTCGATTTAATGGATGTTATCAGTGGTTATCAGCTGATAGATATGGGCCAGTAGGGGCCTTCTGCACCAACTGGTAGGCTCAGAAGGCTGTTATCATCTATACTTGTGGTTAATCAGCTATAGATTACATATGGCTGCGGTCGGAAGTTAAAGAGAATTATTTATATTATTTATTACATTTCCAATAAATTGTATATAATTTACATCTACCCCTACTCCAACCCTAAACTCACAGTAATGTAAAAACAGATCTGAAGTCTTCTCTATAGCTGATTAATCATGGACGGATGGTAACAGCCTTCTGAGCACTGATAACGCCCATTTAATCAAGTGATAACATTCGAAGCGGATGGCCTTGACAGAAAACCGCATGTTTCATTCAATCAGTCATGAAAGCTCTCAAAGCATGCGTCCAATACCAAAAGCAGACTCTAAAATAAGACGCAGATTCAGAGTTCCACATCAGGTTATTAATGAGCAAATAAAATAAATATTACGAATGTAAACATTATGTGAGCAGGTTACATTGTAACCCTGTGACACTCACGTGACGAGATTTGCAGTAATAAGCAATCTGGCTGTTTGCCACAGACGAAAGAAATTTAAATACAGCCATTCAGAAGCACAGAATAGTGCACTTACTGGACTCTAACAAAATGGTAAGGTTTAAAATCTAATACATATTAAACCTCTTTAAAACTATTAAATGTAGATGCTGAATCACTGGTATGTGTTGGCTTGCACAGAAGTTCCATTTCAAATGGTTTATTTTACTTTCAAGATCTGAGGTGAACTATCTGCTGCTGCTTTCAGTGGTATGGCAATAAATGTCAAGGTAAATAGCATTCAAACTCACATAATTAGCATTTAACACTGAATAAAGCACATGAAGTGTACCTGAGGTGATCATTTAGTTTATCCTGTTGTTCAGCTGTGAGAGATATAGGCCGTTCCTAAAGTATAACCCTAAAATATAAATTTCAGTTGTTGTTGAGAGTTTTAATATGGAAAATGTTCCCATTGCTTTAATACAGAACATGGTTTAAATCACACTGCTGTTGGTGTCGTCAATCTGGCAACCTGTGCTTGCATTTGTTTTGAGCCAGGTGTGCAATACCTAGTTCAACCACTGGGTGTCAAACTTACATACTGCACCTTTGAAAGCAGAATTTATAGAGCTGCAAAAAATACATACTTCACCCTATGTTGTCCTAAATTAAAGCTTTACAAAAAAAATTAAAAATTCTGTAAATGAAACATCTTTTATAAATTTGGTAAAAATATATGTTTTGCTATCTGTTTTTCCACTATGTAGCCAAACTGACTGTAACACACATGCTCTCGATACACACACAAGAAGTGTTCACGACTCTTTCTCAGCCTTGGGTACTGGTTGTTTTTGGCCTTGTAGTTTCAGGCACTTTAGGTTTCTACACACAGAAGTGTGTTCATGTGTCTGTGTGTTTCCTTTCGCATATCTTCTGCATGGCTGAGAGATTACAAACTGGTTTAACCCCCGAGGCAAATGCAACAGTCGAGTGATTTTTTTCCCCAGACACATCACAAACCAGGCTGACTCCAACAAACCTTCCGCTCACGGCAGATAAAAACAAACTTGCTACTGTGCCATATTTGAGATATAGCTGCAAAACTTCTGATGCCAAATTTAACATTAAATCTAATATTTCAAAGCTATGAAGCACACATTTTATAATGTGTCTTATGATTGAGTTATTAAATTAGACACTCAACCAAAATGCTCAAGCACATTAATTTTTTCAGGAGCTTGTGACTTTTACTTAACAATTAAATGATCTGTAAACAAAAAACAAACCCAGACTTTCTCTCTGCTTCATATCATGAGAATCAGTTTAGGAAATAGTGTCTATTTATTACTATGGAGTGCGTCAGCTGACAGTCATGAAGCGCTACATGACTGTTTTGAGGATTGCATATGAAAGGGAGACAGCACCTGTAATGAAAAGGAAGGGAATTGTGCCATTTTATGTTTATTTCGAAGTGTTTTCATGTCCGAACAAAGCGAAAGCAAAGAACAGACTCATATTTTAAGAGCAAGGGCAGCCCCTGGTGGTTCGGCAGTATGGGATGAGTATTGGGAGGCTCAGCTCTTTAATGTTTATTTGCCACCCTTCAGAGAAAGACTGAATATACGGGAGAAATAGGGGAAAATATTTTTATGGGATGATAGTGGGATAGAACCGTAAAATATGGGAGAATCTCGGGATAAACGGTAGGGTTGACAGGTATGTACTGAAGTCCATGTAAACATAGTCACTGTCTATCTCCCCTGCGTCTGTGTTTGTGTTGCCACTGTGAAAATCAGCTGTTGTGCATGTAATGAAACTCCCCTATTCATGCAAACCCTTCCCTCTTTCACTGTTAGACACTCCCACCTAAACAAAGCTGGACTCACCTATTTTCCTGACTTTTTTTAAACTAGAGGTGTGAAAACACACAACACTTCTCTGCCACTGATGAGATAATTTGGCTTTGTTTTCACTGTCATATGAAAGAGGCACTGTAACAATTTTGTTACAGATCTCCAAAAAAACTAATGATATTATTGAATAAAATCTAAATACAGCATAACAATTGTGTAATACTACAAGTATACAATTTTGATAAAATGTAGCTGATGAAAAAACATCAGTATATTTGAGAAGTTACACAAGGCAACACTTACGCAGTACTGGGCGAGGAACGTCGATCTGACACTTGGTACATTCCTCTGGACACACCGGACAGACTGGAGTTTCTCTAAGAGGGAAAGAGTCAGAAATCAATTAGGGAAAAAATTCTCCAAAATTACACTGAACACTTCTAAAATACTGTGACAGAATCAAGGTAGACCAATTGCAAGGTAGGGCAATTGTTCAGACATTACATTTATGTCAAAACTTTATTGACGAGAGTACCACTTAAACACTTTTACCTAACCATCCATCCTTAATGAGAACTAGCATAAATCTGGGTCAACACCTAAAGTAAAAATTCAATGTGTGCAAAATAGCCAAATTTATAGCAGGTTGTGTTGCATGGCTGATTACTCCATTGACTAATTTCTAATTTGTCATTTAGCTGCTTTTATGTAAATTAGCTCAGCAATCACATGGTACAACCTCTGATTATACACCTTGCTGAAAGTCTTAACCAGACCAAATAACTGATAAAATTTCCTTAATTACTGTTTACAGACAATCACACTCAAACTATTACGAAAGTTCAACAACTCATGTCACATTGAATGTTTTGACAATGCTTTTGGTTCCCTTTTCTAGGCTCTGAGGGATGAGGGACCTCTCAGATTTCATCTAAAATATATTAAAGGGCCATGAAACCCCCTCGTTTTAGCAGGGTGTTTTCACACCTCTACTTTGGAAAAAGTCAGAAAAGTCGGAGGAACTAAAGTGGGATGGTGTGGGAGTGTCTATTTGGGCACACGCGAGTTTCAGTCAAAATACACACACATGAGAAAGTGATGGTGTTTAACCTACATGGACATCTGTAGTCGAATTATTTGCCAAATTATTAAATGTTGGACTTTAACTGCAGTTTGGCTCTTTCATTCAGGGAATTCATTCATGCCCCTTGCGACAAACGCGATATTTGATTCGAGGATCTGCTCTAAGCGTGTATTTTTCATGCAATGTTTGATACCGCACGGCGAACGAGAGAAAAAAAACTCTGCATTTCCCGGAAACTTGGATGCACACGGCAGGTAGCGTCAGAAAGCCGCATTTTTATTCCGGTCACAAAATGCGGTGCTATGTTTGCACTCAGTGCAATAGTTAACTTAATTCGATACGAATAAACTGAATAAACGAAGAGCACTGGTCGCTCACTTACCAAATCTGTAGAGACAGGACAATCACCAGCAACTAGAGCCGCGTCTTTATGAAGAGAAGACTAACGTTACAAGCGAATCCGGATTTCAGCGTTTGCAGATGAGAACAGCTCTCAGGTAAACAATAATCCTCCTTAGACACGTAAGTTATTGTTGTCGAGTGTCGCGTACACTGTTAATCCACACGTGACTCCAGATGAGCTCTCACAGAGAGAAAATGAAAACGAAACTTAATGGCAGCAAACTATAAAAGCAACACTTCACGCTTGTTTTGCCAACACAACGTGGCGTCTCTGTGGCATAAACGCGGTGACACTAATGAATATTAATGAAGTTGCACAATAGAGCGCGCTGATTGGTTTGAAACCAAGCCTTACTCATGCATTAATGCAACACACTGTAAGACGTAATAAGACACACTCTGGCACAGACGCCCAGTCTGCACGCTGGAATACACGCTATTATGTCATGACCATGACGCAGCTTCAAAAATTCGTTTCAAACAGGAAGTACGAATTTGCTTGAAATAACGCAAAAACAACCAATTTACACTTTTTAGTGAAATATAGGTGTCCTAATAGTGTTTTTAGCAGTGTGGGACACATATACGACTGTCAACAGCTCAAAAAATGTGTTTTGGTGTTTCGTGAGCCTTTAAAGGTGCAGTATGTAAGTTTGACACCCAGTGGTTGAACAAGGTATTGCACTCCTGGTTCAAATTACATGCAAGCACATGTTGCCAGATAGACCAACAGCAGTGTGCCTGACTGTGGAGCCTAAAGGCTGATTTAAATCATGTTCCATATTAAAAGGAGTTTTTGCTTTAATCAACACCAGAAATATATATTTTTAGAAACGGCTTCAATTTCTTGCAGCTGAAAACAAGGGAAAATTGTGTGTTTAACTCAGGTACACCTCATGTGCTTTATCCAGTATTAAATGCTAACGGCGTGAGTTTGAATGTCATTTACATCACATTTATTGCCATATACTGAAAGTAAAGAAAATACTGATCTTGAAAATGAAATAAAGCTTTTTGAAATTGAGCTTTAGAACCGTGACTTAGTGTAAACCAACACATATCAGTGAATTAGCATGTACATTTAAAATGATAAAAAGGTTTAAAATGTATTAATTAGATTGTAAACCTTACCATTTCGTTGGAGTGCAGTAAGTGCACTATTCTTTGCTTCTGAATGGCTTTATTTCAATATCTGTCGTGTTTCATCTGGCGCAAATAGCCAGATTACTTATCACGGCAAATCTCGTCACGTAGCGTGTTGTTAGGACACTGGGTCACAATGTAACCTGCTGACCTAATGTTTACGTTCGTAATAATTAAATGATTTGCTAATTAATTACCACCTCATGAAAAACTCCCACATCTGAGTCTCATTTCAGAGACTCTTACTGTCCATCGGAGGTCATATTTCAGTCACGGATGCACACTTTGAGAGTTTTTCCTGACTGAATGAATGAAATACACTGATTTCAACTAAGGCAACCCAGGGTGCTGAAATATAATTGGCTAAATTGGCAGTGGGCGGGTTAAAAAAAACAAAACAAAGAGTTGTTCCGGCACGTAATTCACATTTACAAAGCAGAATTTTTGACTTCAGCATGGCTTTTCAGATAAACATGAATGATCACTTAGCATGTTTCTTAAACATCTGCAAACATATATTTTTTACGCTTTAGAAGAGTCAAAAATTTACAGCACCTTTTATTTGTACTCAAAAATGAATAAAGGTCTCAGGGGTTTGGACTTTAGATAGCGTAACTATTAATAGAAATTTAATTTCTGGGCAAACCTTTAAACAAATTGGAGTATTTGATTCCCCAGGGTCATGCAAGAAACAGGAAAACAGAGCCTTTAAATAACTGCTGTAGCTGGTTAGGTGATACACCCCAGAAAATGTGGGCCAAGCAAGGTGCCACAGTGCTGACAAGGCACACACACACATTCACATTCACAAACACACAGTGGGCGCAGCGCCCGCAGGAAGAAAAAGCAGCACTATTGATCTCCTGAGAGATGCATAAAATGCTAGACAAAATAGTGGGAAACACTTGAGACGGGAACAAGAAATCTGCATTTTCCTTTTATTTTCCATTTTTCCAGCACCTGTTTCTGCTCTAATTTAGGCCAAATGTCCTGAATCACAGCATGCATGCTCCTGAAACACTGTGCCCTTCTTCTGACATCACCGAACGCTCTTCCTCTCCAGATAGTAGGAGACGGAAAGGCTTTGGCTGGCATTTGGGAACACAGGCTGCGTGTGAACTGAATCTGAGTCAACAGTGCTGTGTGCTGTCTATATAAGCAAGTGACAAATGTAGATTGCTGTTTCTATGGTGATGAAGGGGGGTTCCCGATGATGTCAAAGTTTTAAGGTGTCGCCTGAATGGGCCATTAAGTCAACATGAATAACACAAGAAAATCAATAACCATGCAGACTCTTGAGTTTTGTTCAACCCTGACTATTGCTAATATATGCAGTGGCCAAAACAGTTTCAACAAACTAAAGTCACAATTTCTATACTGAGTTTTATTTCTTCAGGGAAAAACAGAAAACAGGTTTTCGGTGATCTGAATTGATTTATACTGAGTGGAGAAGGATGAAACCACTGAGTAACCAGCCACATTTTATTCTCATCTAGTGCGCCAGGCCAATCTATAAGAGCATCTCTGGAGGTTTACAGAACTCAGGTAAGTATTGATGAGCATTTAGCACAAGGCATTTCTTGGGTGCTGCATTAAGATTTATTTTTATCCCAACAAAACTGCAGACAGGACTGCAGCCATGACAAAGCACATTTATGCAATTTAGGTCACTGTGGGTTACAAAAACCCTGCATAATTCTCTAAGAGGCCAAAAAAGGTAATCAGTTTTTATATATGCATTGTTGTACATGTTTATTGAGACAATGTACACTCACCAACTACTTTATTGGCTACTTTATTAGGTACACTTGTCCAACTGCTTGTTATTGCAGAGTTCTAATCAGCCAATCACATGGCAGCAACTCAATGCTGAGTCAAGATGATCTACTGCAGTTCAAACCGAGCATCAGAATAAGAATGAAAGTTGATTTAAGTGACTTTGAATGTGGAATGGTTGTTGGTGCCAGACAGGTTGGTCTGAGTTTTTCAGAAATTGCTGATCTACTGGGATTTTCATGCACATCTGTATGGAGTACAGAGAATGGTCCGAAAAAGAGAAAAAATCCAGTGAGCGGAAGTTCTGTGGGCGCAAATGCCTTGTTGATGCCAGAGGCCAGAGGAGAATGGCCAGACTGGTTCCAACTGATAGAAAGGCAACAGTAACTAAAAAGCTGCTTTTCCACTATCGTGCCAAACCGTTCTAAGAACACTTCGGTACGGTTACGGTTGTTTCTCTACTGAGCCTGGAACGGCGCGGCACGATTACAAACCGTTCTCGGCCCGGAATTCTCGGCACGGTTAGACAACCGTGCTGAACTGTGCTGACAGATTCTGTGTTGACGTCGCGACTCGGTTGCTAAGCTACCACAGCTGGCTCAGCAGAAGCGCGCTAGTCATCAGACATCCTCAATAAACTACAGTACATTTAATATAAAATAATGATCCAGGTCTAAACGATACAGTTTGAAAAGGGTTTTAAAACCATAGAGCAGTCTCTGGCAGAGAAGTGAATAGCTCATCACATTCTTACGAAGATATTTTATTCATTAAAGTTATTATTTTATTGACTTTAATACAGACCCTTCTTCGCCTGCCTGAATGTGAGTTTATTGCACGCAGTGCTGTATTCCACAGCACAAAACTCGCTCTGATCCGGGAGAGACATGCCAGCGACTTGCGCTGCTGACTTTTTTTTCCTGCTGCGCATCGAATAAAGCGAATAAAGTCACGCTTTGCATCTTCGATGTCCAAATTCCACAACAACATCACTATATCCATGGAACACGAACTTGCAGACTCTTTTAACAACGAGGAAATAATTGCACTTTTTAATTCAAAGCCAGGACAGCTTGTTAATACCGGCGAGACCACCTGAAGGACGGCGTGTTCGTGTTGTAATGTCGGCCGTCCAAAAGACTTTGCTTGAAAGCTTTACGGAGCGGCACTGTAACTGTCCAAGGTACTGTTGTATGATTTATATTATAGCATATGCACTAATAAACAAGTCAAAAGAATGAATGAATTAAATAAATATGGATTCTTAAATGTCAGTATTGCTTTTACTCAAAAAATATCAATACGTTTTGACAAATGTTTTATAAAAATAAAATAAGCAATTTTCATAATTTCAGCTATAGGCAATTATATGATTCAGTTAAACATAAGTTATATGACATTTATGAGGCATGTAACATGTTTCTGTGTTTTTGTTTTTTTGTGGTGATCTTTAATATAGCTACGCAAATATTTTCTAAAACGTCTAGCATTAATTCGCCTACAGCTTGTTAGTTAATTATGAACACAAAAATAATTATAATAATAAAAATAAAATGATCAAAATAAAAAGATAATAGAGCAGCATTTTGCTAAATATAATAGTGCTTTATATGATTTAAATCCTGCGATATACCTATGTGTTGTTTCATATTCTTTTTTTTTTTTCACTTGCTGCATTCGTTATTTAATGTTTGAATAGTAAAACAAATAACTGCCATCACTTAATTGGTTTCATTTTACCATCAAAATGTAGTATATTTTATATCATTATCAACTTTTGATATAAAAACGCAGTATAATTTAATTAATTGTTAAAAATGAAATAATTTATGTGCTATGTTTTTATTAGTGAAAGTGCCCGCTCACCTTTGACAAGGCCTGTCCAAAATTATATTTCTGCCACTATAATGCAAATGCACTATTATTGTGGTCTTATCATTGTTTATTTTTCTGTTATGTTCAGAGATTTTAAATATTATTTATTTCCCCTCCAATTATTTTCAATCATCACGTTACATTTTGGTAATTTTCCCTCCAAATAAAATTTAGCCAGAGCTGCGCAACATATAAATAAGGGTGCACATGTACCTATATTTAGCACCCCTATTTGATAGAGCGGCATAACAGTGTTTAGTCACATGGTTGCTTTTGCTTATATGAAAAAAAAAAAAAATAGTTTTGGCTCTTATTTAACTTTAATTGAACAAAGTGAGTCGTTTACATTGCGTTACCAAGGCAACTACTGATGCGTTTTTTTGTAATGTTTTAAAGAGCTTTGTCGCAGCACGACAGTGGAAAATGAAACTGTATCCGTGCTGTCTGGCCCGGTTTGGCACGGAATGGAACAGTTCTGTTTAAAGAACGATTCAGCACGATAGTGGAAAAGCGGCTAAATAAGCACTCGTTACAACCGAGGTATGCAGAAGAGCATTTCTGATAGGCCTCCACAGTCACCAGTACTCGATCCATAAGAGCACCTTTGAGATGTGGTGTAACGGGAGATTTGCATCACAGATGTGCAGCCGATAAATCTGCAGGAACTTTATGATGCTATCATGTCAATATGGACCATTATCTCTGAGGAACATATCCAGTATCTCATTGAATCTATGCCACGAAGAATTAAGGCAGTTCTGAAGGCAAAAGGGGATCCAAGCCGGTACTTGTAAGGTGTGTACCTAATAAAGTGGCCAGTGAGTGTACATGACAATGTATACAATAAACAATAGGCTAATATATTTGGCTGGTATCATAACATGTATATGTTTATAACAAATAAATAGTAACACTATAATAACTACACACTATGAATGATTTATTAAGCATCAGCATCTAGTGAATTCAATATTTGTTAAGCATTAACTCTACATTAATAAACGTTAGTAAGCAGTTTATAAATGAAGCAACAAATGATGTATTCTTGACTTATTACCACCCTTATAATGTGCTTAATAATTATACTTTCATAATTTGATACTGGTTGATTTTTCATTACTAGATTAAGTATTGAATTATTTACAAACCATTTGTATTTGTTGGTGGTTTTTAAGATAATTCAGAATGAGCTAGTTAATGAGTAATAAACTATTGCAATCAACATTTATGTATTTTATTATTCAGGCATTTAGTAATGGTTACTACGTATGTTATTAAATGCTTTATTAACTCATTTCATGCATAGTGACCTAATCTAAATGTTAATTTCAATAGTTCATTAACCATTTACTAACTCACTCTGAATGATCTTAATAAACACCAACTATGCTTAAATAACTTGTTTGTAAAAAATGCAATACTTAATTTAGTAATGAAAAATAAATCATTAACGAAGTATAAAAGTACAATTATTAGGCACATTACAAACAAGCTTATAAGCCAAGAATACAGCATTTGTAGCTTCAGTTATAAACTGCTTACTAACATTTATTAATGTAGAGTTAATGCTTAACGGATAATGAATTCACTGTTTGCTAATGCTTAACAAATAGTGTGTAGTTATTATAAAGAGTGACCAAAAATTCTTGTGTTATTAATTTGATCATATTATAAGATATAACTAGTTTTGTGATGGGAAAGCAGCATTTTCAGTAGACATAACTACAGACTCAAGAAACGTTTGTTATTATTATTTAGTCAGTACTCTCCTTACATGTTAAGCAATTAAATAAGGCCCCTGTGGCCATCAGAAGGCACCATGGTGTTAGACTTTAATGCAACAGTACAATGAGTCTGTGTAAGATGTGAGGGTGTTGAGTTGAGCAGTGAAACAGCTAGGGAGAAATGTTGAGAAACTTGTAATGATTTGCTAAAAGCTCCTGAAATATGAGGTTCAGTCCTGTTTTCAATGTATAAAACATTAAACATAGTTGCCCTGTTTGATATTATTGGGAAAATAGAGATTTTTTCTCTTTCAACTCTTTGCTGTTGTTCTATTTTTATGTTTCTGTATCTGAAAGCCTTTGATGGCAAATTGAAGGGCTAATCCATGTCGATACAGTATCAAAACATTTCAAAATACAGACTTTACGCTGGCATAAAGTCCAGTCTCGTCAAAATATAACTTTCATGTACTGTCAGTGATTTATCGCATAATCCCTGATATCTCTCAGTCTTCAATGCTTTCATGTAATTCATCTTTCTCCATAATTTTACCTGTCGTCCATTAGATTTGGAGCCCAGACTGCAGTGTCCCAGGCTGCCATTTGGGGTTGTGCCGCAGTTGCTGATGATCTGGAGCTGTTTCTCAGCCCGGTCGGCCCGGTCCAACAGTTCCTCGATGAACTGCTGAAGACGCAGTTTAGCGTTGGCTTCACGAGCAGCTGTTTCCTGCAGGAACTGGTCGATCTGAGACACTTCTCTGAATTAAGAGGAAATAAACAAGAGAGGAAAAAAAATATGTGAGGATTACTGAGTGGGAAGAACAGTTAGAAATATTGATCAGTGTGTTTTGAGTATGATAATATTAGTCACTCTATTATGCTTTATTGGAATATTGCCTACAATGTAGTATGTACTATAACATAGTAACAAGAGCACAGCACATGATAAATAAGAGTTTGTCTCAATCCCACTCTTACTTTCTGCACAAACAAATTTGCACAGTGACAATCTATGGCAGGGGTGGCCAACTCCGTTCCTGGAGAGCCACCTTCCTGCAGACTTCAGTTGCTACCCATATCAAACACACCTGAACCAATTAATTAGGACCTGAACACCACGTGATAATTACAGGCAGGTGTGTTTGATCTGGGTTGCAACTGAAATCTGCAGGAAGGTGGCTCTCCAGGAACAGGGTTGGTCACCCCTATATAAATATGAGCCACCAGTATACTTTCTCTATTATTTTAAAACTTAATTTCTATAAATATAGTTCTGCATACATTCATGCATTCATTTTTTTTAGGTTAAGCCCCTTTATTAATCAGGGGTCACCACAGCAGAATGAACAGCCAGCTTATCCAGCATGTGTTTTACACAGCGGAAGCCCTTCCTGCTGCAACCCAGTACTGGAAGACACCCAACGCTCTCAATTACATTCACTACAGCCAATTTAGCTTTTTCAATTCACCTATAGCACATGTCTTTGGACTGTGGGGGAAACTGGAGCACCCGGAGGAAGCCCACGCCAACACGGTGAGAACATGCAAACTCCACAAAGAAACGCCAACTGACCCAGCTGAGGGTCGAACCAGCGACCTTCTTGCTGTGAGGCAACAGTGCTTCGGCATACAATATATAGTTTAAAACTACTACTACAAAAAATCTATGTCACTTTGTTAGAATTATAAGTTATAATTAGTCACCTTAGAATTATAAGGTTCTAGCTGACATTTTTGTCAAAATTTAGTTATTGACATATTCATATTAAATGTCAACTTATTTACTTTATGGGAAGTTGTTTACATTTTAAGACATGTTATTTTAAAAAAACAAATGTTAGACACATACTGTTTGCTATGTAGTGCAAAAACTTGAAACCTCATTATCTCAAAATTATTCAGAACGCAGACAGAACCTTATAATTCCAAGGTGACGAAATAGAGTATTAAATTTGCAACAGAAAATGTTGGAGCAGTGGTCAAGGTCAAAAAAACGTGTTTTGAATCAATACATAAATAAATGGAAAACACTTACGAATTATGGGTAGACATCTTTTAATCAACATATATTTTTGTGCAGATCCTTAAGAGATGCATTTCAAACACTGAGAGCAAAAATGACGTAATATACAGGTACTGCATAGTGCTCAGCATAATTTAGTAGACCCCATTTAGAAAATTTATATTTTTTCAGTAAATATAGGCAATAGATTTTAGTGCATTTGAACAAAATATAGGTTTATTAAACAGATAAATTTATTTAAAAAAATATTTTAGTCACCAAACATATTTATATAAATAATACAATTAAATTCAAGCAAAATATTGCAGAAAAAATTTACAAACTACAAAATTTCAACTAACTTTTATACATATTTGTTTTATCTTGAATTTTTAATTTTTTTTTTATAAATCTTTTATTTAATATTTTCTCTAACATATAAACTTGGGTGTACTAGTTTTTGGAAGTTACTTGTAAAATAATCTCCAGATTTGGCTTAAGTACTGACTAATCTAATGTTTATGCACATATTTAATTCAAACATATTTAACTTCCTAAACAATTTATTAATTAAAATGAGAGATTTGTGAGGGGTGTACTTCTATATGTTGAGCCCTGTATGAGAAAATTAAGCAGTTTTTTGCCCTTGGTTTTATGTACAGTAAGCTTATTGTAAGACACCTCCAAAAATCAAGCAAAATCTTGAACTTTAAAATGTGCCGGTATGGTCTGACTTACAACTGATACATCCTCACCCCAACAGCATTTCCTTTAAAGAAATGAAAGTCTACAGAGCATTCAGATTTAAACCTGTCACACCTCAGCAAATGGGAAAAGGGCATCTGATACCACTTTCTCCCTCCCTATTTGTCCCTTTTCTCATACTTGTTTATCTTCTGCAGCATTCTGCAAATCCCTGGAGGGCAAATTCAGCCAATGAAAGCACCACAACTGTTATCTCGGTGTAGGAAATGTCTCTGTACACATAAACACTGGCTTGCGCCTCTGTCGACACCATCACTTCAGATATTCTAAGCTTCTCTCACACTCATAGCAGATTCTCACGCAGTAGGACTTTTGATTTTCATACGCCAACAAAATCATATTTCGAGATACTGACATTTTCGGTATGGCATCAACAGAGGATGAAATCAACGTCATAGTCCGGAGTGAGCATGCAGCGATCCCTGTGCTGCTTTAATTATCCACTAAAATTAAAAGCAGCGATTTATAAAGCAGAAACATGTGCGTAAATGTGATCTCAATGGTTTTTATGTAATTGTGTACTCTCCAATGATCCTGTAAGTAAATGACAATGATAAAGATCAGGCTGTATATTGAATTATGATGTCAGGCAGACTCTAGTCTTCTTCGCAGCCTTTTAATAAATCACGGATCTGGCGTACATCATGTCGGAAATATTATTTCCAGATTGCTTCTCTGGTGCAATAATTAATCATGACCAAATTAAGACTTCTGTCACTGATCAGAAGAGAACTCATGCCCAGTGATAAACACATCAAAACTGAAATATCTTCTCCTGTTTTTTGATGTTCAGTAGATATTTAGTCAGTCGTAAGAATTTAATAATATGGTCTACTTCTGTATGTTTGTACAGGAGAACATAGACTTGAAATTTGTGTAACCTAAACCTAAAACCAATACAAATCAAGTCTAATTAAAGACTATGTTAAAGTAAATGAATACAGCATTATAGAAGATCAGTAATTGAAATCTGATGTTCGAATAAAACAAATATATTATTTAAATAGCAGGTGGGTAATACTATATTATTAATAATATCAAACAAACAAACAAAAAAACATAAGGTAAAGCTGTTTACACAAAAAGTTGAAATTACTCTTGTTTTTTGTTGGTTTGACAAAAAAACAAAACAAAAAAAACAGTAAAATTTTCAGTACAACCACATTTACCATGTTAACGTAATTCAAAATGTTCTTCATTAAATTAAAAAGATTAGTTTTGTGAGCAAAAATAATTAAAAAATTAGTTTATCCAAAAAGCTTCTGCCAACTTGTTGAGTTGAGTTAACCTCCTTGCTTAAAAAAAATAAAGGTTACAGTATTTCTAACTCTAATAACAATGACAAAAATAATAATAACACCAATATTAACACTCATGTCATTATTATTATTAACAACAACAACAACAAAATACTGCATTTGAAATATTAATCATTCGTAGTTTACCTTTTTTGTGTGCGTGTGGCGAGGGGGGGGGGGGGGGGGGACTGTTGTGGACTGTTAATTTGTATTTAATTGTTATATATATGGATGTTTTTTCCTGACAAAATAAAAATGAAAATTCAAATGCCTAAAACGATCAAATAATAAATCAAACTTTTAAAACAACTACCCAAATGATAAATCAAATACTCAAACAATAAATCAAAATGCATTCTCAAATGACAAATCAAATGCTCAAACTATAATGCCGCGGTCACCCTAGAGTTTGTGCTTGCGAAAGTCTGTCGTAAGGCGCTGCAAAAAAGGCGGGATTATACAAGATGATTAGACATTGAAAAACGCAAGTGATTGCTCCATGTTTTAAATTTCTGTTCAGAGAGGTCATGTTTTGATGCATGCAATCATGTGATGTGATTACCAGGTTATAGTACACCAAGCTTGAACTTTCCAACACATCGAACTGTGAAACTTGTCACGCAAGCTTGCTTTTCCGGGCTGACATATTTGCGCTCTAATAAATAAAAGTCTATGGGAAAAAATGCAGTGTGATTGCAGCCTATTTAAAATGAAGGAACCAATTTAAGTCTCCTGATTACACACACAAAGCTGTAAGCTCATGATGGACTGATTACTAGGATTATAAAGACACCTCATTCACACATATTTTGCTGAGTCTTGTTTTTCGCTGTGAAGCATTACAAATCATTTTTTCCTGTTTGCCCTGCCATGTTTTGATCCTTGTCTTGTTTACCATTTTTTTGTTGTTTTGCATCCAGTACTGTTTTTAATTCTGTGTCTAATAAATGTTTTAACATTTTTTCTCTTTTTTTTCAATTAAACTATGTTTGTTTGTTCTGATAATGTATTGTTTCTTAGTATCAATTTCCACAAGAGTTTTTTGTTCCCTCAACTTCAGACATTTTAGGTCAGTGCAGATGATGTTTTCAAAAATTAAGTAAACATGAAATAATAAAAAGTAAATAAGAATTGTTTTTTTTCCTGCTGACTCAACTTCAGGCATTCAGTTCTGCAGACAAAAAAATGTTCAGTTGGCACAACTTAAAAAGTTTTGTCACAGAGTAGTTCACCTCTCCAGAAAACTAACAATCTTGTGTTAACCCAACTAATTGTTTTTGTATTACTGACAAATAATTTTAGGTCAGTGCAGCTGATGTTTTCAAAAGTTGAGTGAACAAGAGAAAGCAAAAGGAAATAAGGATTACGATTTTTTTGTTATTATATTGGCTTACGTTTTTTTTTTTTTTTTTTTTTTTACAGTGCAGTGCTTTAGTATCTTTTAAAGCATGAAATCATAAGTCTCCATTAGTTGTCAATTTATAGAAAATAACATTTAAGTAACAGTACCTTGTTAGAGATTCCTCCTTTAGTTTTCCATTGAAGAAATCCTATTGGTTTGAATTGGTCTAGGGGTGGATACATTTCAATTTTTGTGTATAGCTATAAATTCAAAACAATTTTTTTAATTCTTCTTCACAACACCTCTCTATTCACTCACTCGCAGCATTCTTATTGTAGTAAAGGTCAAAAA